AAAGAATGTTCTTACTTTTATGACAAAACTCTCCCAGTTATATCCCTCAGAAAGGTTGCATGAAGTCATGTCTAACGTTTGCAACTGTATGAATATAAATATTTAAGTTCACTGTAGCGCTATATATCCACACGAAAACATTAAAGTGTGAAAAGATTCTTCCTGCCCTCCACAAAAATTTGTGACACAGAACTTTTTCACAGCCAAATGTGAAATATGATTCATACTCAGAATGCAACATGTTTTGCATAGAGACTCCATTAACACTGGAGCCTTTTCGCGTATACGGCCACATAAAATCTTAGGCACACTGGTAAGAAATAAATCATAACTGAGACTGGTAGTGGCAGCATCCAACTGGTTAAAGAAAACTACAAAATTACTTCTATTTTACTAATGACAATTCATACATAGTTTTTTCAGATACAGAATCTCACTCTGTGGCCCAGGCTGGAGTGCGGTGGCACCATCATACCTCACTGCAGCCTTGAATTCCTAGTCTCAAGACTCCTGCCTCAGCTTGCTGAGTAGCTACAACTATAGGTACATACCACCACGCCTGGCTAATTTAAAAAAGTAAATAAAAAATAGTGAGATGGAGTCTTACTATGTTGCCCAGCTGGTCTTAAACTCCTGGGCTCAGGTGATTCTTCAGCTTTGGCCTCCCAAAGTACTGGAATCACAGGTGTGAGCCACCACACCTGGCCAATGATCACTATTAATAATGCTTTATTTCCTATGTTATCAATAAATGCCCCCTAAAGTTTTTATTATGTGACTCCCACCACCACTGTTACATAACAGCCCTTGATACATGTTTTAGGTCAACAGCACAATCACCACCGCACCATTACCAAGCAACAACACATGCCCAGGTCCTTTAAACCCTTAGAAATGGAGCAGGATGGAGTGAAAAGTAAAGTGAAAATCTAAAGATGAGCATATATAAATGTGCATGTCTTTAGAATATGAACACAGCTTCTAGAAATTTCTGGAGCCTTAAGTCAACTTAAATATTTGGTTCACAGATATTTCCCACCAAACACCTCCCGGTGCTATGCCAGCTACACAGACACACCAAAAGGTAGCTTCCAGATTTCCGTTATGTATTTAGGAATAGAACAGCTGAATGTGACCTGGAAATAGCCACTCTCCTGTGGATTTAATATCAGAATATACTCGTTTCAATTAAAAAGATCTGCCAAGAAGAAAATTCTATCTTCACATTCAATTATCTAATAAGTTTTCCAAATTTGCTTCAAATGAAGAAAAAATTTCTTTTTTCTGGTATTATTGTATGCAAGAACGCGTGGCAAGTATTCTAAATATGGCTTATAATGTGAAGTGTCGTAGAATATGCCACTCCAAAATTTGCCACTTTGGCATAAGAATTATTTTGAGCTGTAGGCAATGAAAATGGAGGAGACAGAAGAAAAAGTCTCTCCCTCTTTCTACCAGGAAGGGAAAGACCATTCTTAATCACTGAAGACAGCTCTCCTTTATCAACTCAGATGGCATCAGAGGAATCTGCACAACAAATCTCACCAACTATCCCTTATTTCCCATTAGTTTCTCCCACGTATTTACCTCCCTATGATTGTACGATTGTACCTCCTAGAAGCTCAAAATCCTTCTCCTTTGTCTTCTTCACTTCTCTAAAAAACTGCTTTTTGTTAAGATGCTATAAAAGTCTAGGCTCTAACCACCCCTCTGAGTTACTCATTCCCATGTGTATGTAAATGCACGTTAATAACCTTCTGCTCATTTTTCTTTGTTATTCTTTTGTCGGTCTAATTTACAGGGCCCCAGCCAATCAACCTAAGATGGGTAGAAGAAAAAGAGTTTTTTACTTCCCCACCACAGTCACTGGAGAAAGGAAGGGATGGTCACCTCCATTTAGGGCCAAGGGTGAAGGAAAAAGGAGCAGTCGGATGAAACAGAGAATGAAATTCACATGGCTGAACCCCAAAGGCTTCATCAATCTTCAAATCAGTAAATATTCCTGGTGTGGGGTAATACTGAGGGGACAGACTTTCTGATAAACAGAGTTCATGTCTGGCCTGGTTTGCTACCTTTAATTAACTCTATAGTAAATGAGTCATACAATGATCTGGTATTTGTCATTGGGGTACTCATAGAGCCTGCAAGAAGTTCTTATTGCCATTCTTTAATCCCTTCGAGTTAGCAGACAGTTACAGCAAGCCTGGCTCCACTCTAACAAATGCCATGGGAACTCTTGGCCCTGGTGCTCTCATCTCCTCCCTGGGCATGTACAATGTTGCCACACTTTCAATTCCAGCAGATTTTGTTTGCCTTATACAGATATTCTTTTTCTTCAGCTTCAGAGGAAATGCTGCCACATGAATGAGGCCAGCGGATGCCACCTCTTATAACATTATGCAAAGAAAAATGCTACTTAAAAATTTAAACCACCTTAACTCAATAATGAACATTGGTTTGGGAGCTCAACAACAGCTACAGACTTTCCCAGCCTACTGATTTTCATACCTTACCTATACATACCTTAATAGTGTTAAGTTGGAGGCTTTTCTTCTTTCCCTGAACTTTAATTACTGATGTGATGAATGCTATTTTTTTTTAACTGATTGGGGTATTTGTTAAGCCACCTTCACAAAAATCAGTGTTCCTAATTCTCAAATACGGTGTTTGCGGGTTGAACCCAAGCCAGAGCCAAGCTAGCTGTTGAACTTGACATCTAATCCTACAAATGACTCAGTTGATAGATGGGGGAGAGCGACTGTCACTTTCCCCTCCTCTTCATTGCCAGCATGAGTGTTTAAACTTTCTGAATTTTCTGGGCCAATATTTCACAAAGAAATAACAAGTGTTTATCACTTTACTAGTAGAGGCTGGGTGATTCATGGGGCTTCTTCCTAGCCAGGTGATTTATTTCCATATACTAGACTTACAGTACTTACCTAAGGAAGATTCAAGGTGGTATATATTATAGAAATCTTAGCTAGCTCATGACCAAATAAAGTACACGTATTAAATCCATGTATGCTCCTACTAGAGTCAATTTAGAAATATCTCCAGGTCTTCCTATGTGTGTATCAATCTATAAAGCAAGCACTAGCTCAACCCTGCTTTCCTTACTAATTCTAGGTCTTTGCTCAAAAGCTTTCTTCTTTGGGATGGATTTTCTGACAGCCTTGTTTTCCTTTATATTCCCCCCATTCCCGAGTATAAACTCTCAAATTCATCTTAAATAAAGCTGCTAACTTCTCCTTCTAAACATTATATTATAAATATATCTCCTTAGAGCATTTCCCACATTGCATATTATGTGCTTGTATGATATCGTATATATGTGTATGTGTGTGTCTCACACACACACACACACACACACACACACACCCACACCCACACACACATCTGCCCGGTAAGACAGGTAGACCCTTTAGGATAGAAGCTATGCTTTATTTCTCTTTCTAATCTAGTGCTGTTTACAGTGCCTGGGACTGTAAATAAATGTTGCTGAATAAATAAAAGTTGAATTTTCTCAAGGCTGGTAGTAAACATCACTTTTGTTTTTCATGGATTACTTCTCTGGAGATACAAGTGGTTTACACTTGCTAAGCAAATAACATGCTATGAATTATGCAGGAACATCATTACTTCAATACTTCAGAGAGGAAAAGTCAAGAAAAGAAACTTTGTTATTTACTCCATGTTTCACATTTAGCCATTGAGAACCATGTTGCAGAAACTGGCTCTCATACTTGACAATTCTGTACTCTACCCATTAGCTTGTGGCATGAGATAAATCAAGAGTCAAGAACAGACCCGATTTTTCCTTTTCCTTTTATGTAGTGACCATTAGATTATTACCCCCTTAGCTTTCCAGGCTGAACAGGGGATAGGCTTTAGCTATGGTAAGAGACCAGGAAGGATGACCCAGCTCTGAGGCAGAGTGTAAGCAAATGACTGTATCCTCTGTGCCCCGTTTCCCGCTCTGTGAAAAAGAAAAGCACAATATTTAACAACATCGCCAAGCTATTGTGAGAGTTAATTAGATTTAATGGGGGAAGGGAGGTGAGCTGATTAGGCATGATTCAAATTCAAAATGTCATTATTTTGTATCTAAAAATAATCCTGATTTAGGAATAAAATTAATTTGGAAGCTCAATCTTTGGTAATCATCTTCCTATGCTTAAAAAAAAAAGCCATAGTTTTAATCAAAATCTCATTCTAAGTATAATTCAATGAAGTAAAACGGAATTTCCATTCATCTTTAAACTAATATAGCCACAGTTCATTTTTTTAATCTTTCCTTTTTTTTCCTTAACAATACATTATGTGTGAAAAGGTTAATTTTGTCAAATGGAGCAATATAAACAAATACAGATTTTGAACCTACTTTTTTTGTTGTTTCACATCAAATATTTGTGCAGCACTTTAAATTGCTTCTCTAAAGAATCAATAATCAATGTTTTGTGGTTGAAATAACTTTTCAGGTTGTTTCAACAAAATCCCATCTGTAGTTTTGTCTGAGAACTCATCAGTTAAGGAAGATCTTAGTAGTCCCCAGATTAAAAAAAAAAAAAAAAAAAAAAAAAAAAAAAAACCCTGGATATTTCAGGCTAAGGCAAGGAAAAAAAACAACATTGAGGCTGCAATCCCCAAAACTAATGTAACAGATTCATTGATTGTGAAAATCTTTGTCAGAAGTTGAAATTGGTATCTGAGAAATATGTGTCTATAAATCTTTGAAAAAAGGAAAATACTCTTTAATCGGAACTTAGATCATAGCTGTTAAAAAAAAAATGTTACACTCAGGGTTTTTGGTGAATGAAGAGTTTTGGCTGGAAAGGAACTCTATCAATTTTTATTTAGAGCTGTCCAGAGGAAAGGAAGACCACATAGTCCAGTTAGTAGAAATGTAGTCTATATAGAGAAATAGGAATAATTCTCTTAATTTTAACACAAGCCCTATTAAAATTTCCCATAAGACCTACAATCACTCAGACTATACTCACCAAGCAAACTTTTGATTATTCATTCGATTTCCCCGGACCCTTGATACTGGGGACGGATGTACCCTGTAGACAGATGAGAACAATTCAGTCATTGAAAAAGCACATTCCCAATTGCAAAGTTAGAAAATGGCATCTGTTTTATAAATAATCTCTTTTAGAAATGCTTAATATAAAATCCCCAGAACTTGATCCCCTCTTAGTAAATGATGCAATTAAATTCCTATGCCTGCAAATCTGTGGTCCTTTTTTCCTTCTTGACCACTCTCAAGACACTGAAGACTCCCAGAGGCAGGACTGATGCACTCATTCAGTCCAACTATCCCTCGCCAGGTACAAGAGTGGGTAAAGGTTACCTAAGGTATGGTGACTGCCTTCAGTGAGCCCTCTTTGTACTTGTTGCCATGAGGGTGGGCCCAAAGAGGCATCTAAGTGACCCCTTCTTCAGTCTACTACATTTAAAACTCTAGGAAGCAAGACAACTTGATTCGAATGTGCTGTAACAGAATCTGCGGGCACAGGAGAGGAGGGAAGAGTGAACAGGTACTCCTAGGAGAAGTACCTTCTGGAAGTGATGTGCTACCACTGGCCTTGGAGGAAGGTAAAGCCAATTCAAAACTTCAGCCGGATAAAGGAGAAGTGAAGAATATACTGCTTTACAAGCTTCCAGGGTTGGACTCACCCACCGGAAATAGCTTAAAGCTTCCGGAAACTGCTGTTATCTTCCAATCAAAGCCTCGCTAGTAAACCTCCACCTCTTAGTGGGTCACTAACTGGGAAAACAATATGCCCTACTTCCGGCTGCCAGCTTCCTGTTTTGGTCTATCTTTACCAGGATTTGTGAGATCTAAGCAGTATTAGCTTATATTACCTTCACCCTTTACATTTCATACATTGCTCTTATTTACAAGAAAAACAAACAGGTATATAAAACTGGTCTTACAGTCTAGTTAGCACCAACAGCTCCAAGATTTGTTAAGAAATCCAGTTCTCTGTAGTTGTTTAGCAAGTGAAAATCATTCCAGAACAGATAATACAGTTCCAGCCCCGCCTAAGGGCCAACTGCAGTCTTTCCCTAAACCCAGAGCCAGACTGCACTTTGCACTCGGAAGGCTTATTTCTTCCAACATCCCTTATTAACATTCTTTTCCTCACAGTGCTTCTCAATGACTGCTGCAGCTGAGCTGCTCAGCACAGATTTTCTGCTCCGCATGGGGGAGGGGGTGTTAATTATGCAGAAAGATGGAGAGAGGCCAGACAGCCCCTCTGGTGAACTGTCTCATTCAAGCACGGCCCACTTCCTGCTGTTTTGCAGCTACAAGGATCACCTGTTGGTCTTGGCATCCAGCCAAACTGGGGCCTAGTGGAAACGACAGACTCAGCTAGAAATTAAAGCCAGTTCATAATCCAGTATCCCAAATTGGACAAAGGGGGGTAAATGCAATAAAAGTACATAAAAATTATACGAAAGGTAGCAAGAGTAATTTTTTTCCTCCTTTATTCTTTTGTTTTTTATTTCTGTCTTCTTGAAATACAATCCTTAACATGGATATCTGAGCCAAAAAACTTCTCCCCAGTTAAAGCCCCCTGACCTAAGAGGAAATGCAGGAAATTCTCCTGAACTTTCCCTGTACCCTCACTGGTGTATCAGAGTCCTTTTTAATTAAAGTTTAATCAGCCCCAAATACTCACAGTTCTTTAATTTGTTCTCTATCCTTTAGACATTTACCTTTTTCACTGTCCCCTCCTTAACCCTTGGCGTACAAAGAAACTACTTCATCATGAAAATTCCACCGGGTGAAGTTTAATGATAGAAGTATTCTCTTATTGATGCTGTTGATTGCATACATTAGTGGAGAAAAATAGGGTCTGTTCAATCCATAATTACAACATTCTCTAGGTATTTGTATCTTTTAGGAAAATTTCACTGATCCATAGATCAAATACTATAAATGAAGAATTTTTATAATGGTTTAGCAGTCTGAGGAAAAGAATTCCTTCGGAAAGTCTTTGGAAAAGAAGTCCTGATTGTGAGTGTATGAACAAATAATTATAACGTTTCTTAAATTAAAAAGGTAAATCAAGAAAGCTTTATTTTGTAAGTACACTGATAACTTGGCATATATTCCATCTGATAAAGGAGGCCATAAGCCTTGCACTTCACCAACCCCCTAAATTGTATTTCTTCAAAAGGATATGGCATGTTTTGTGAGCCCAGTCTTTAAACTGTGACAGTTTTTGCCATCTTCTTCTGCTTCTTTCTACATATAGAAGCCAGGCAGGTAGCAAAGTCAAAACCTCAGTAGGAGAAACCACCACCTAATCTGCATGTCATGCATTATTCATGACCTCCTGATTCCTGCACCTGCATCTAGGCAGGAAGCTTGCAGGGAATGTTCATTATTCTTCCCTTAGCCTCACACAGGCTCGATTACTGCTAAGCCACTTTGTTCTGTAACTAAGGGTTTTAGGCCTTAGTACTAACTGCTGGATATGGAAAGAAAAAACACCATGCTCAAGAAAAGGGCAATCTTTGTTGTTGTGTAACATGTATTGAATATGCTCTTCTGAGACTGACAGTTTGTCAGGTGGAAATGCTCACATTTGGTGATTTACATTACACAGAAAACAGGGAAGCTATACCATTAAGGCCATGTGTACCAATTGTTCCATTTATATACACTTACTCATCTGGAGCAGAGAGCATGTTTATAATTTTACCCAGCGCAGAGCTTAATTTAGCTTTCTTGCTAAATATATGAAAACTTTTTAGATGACTTAATAAAAAAATGACTCTTTCTTCTTAGGGTATAAACACCAAGGAACCTGACTCTCAAAACCTTGCATCTTAATGACTAACATTTATAGTTAATCAAGAGAATACCATCACTCTGGTTTCCAGTGTTTTCATAAACCTACCTGAATGGCACCCCCTGGTGACTGGAGGTGGGATCTAACACCTTGACCCTCAACACAAATCATCAGCCACTCGTGAACTGCCGTGGGAGGATACTGGTCCCACTTTACTATCTGCACCACAGGAAAGCTGTGATAACTTAATGCAGTCTTATCATCCCAAGTGGAATTACGATGAAGAGGTTAAGAGTGAAAATTGTGTGACCAGCCTGGCTGATTGAATCCCAGCTTCACCGTTTACCAACTGTGTCATTTTTGGGCAAGTTATTTTAACCTCTCTATGCCTCAGTTTCCTCATCTGGGCAAATGGAGGTGATAATGGTGCCTATTACCTAGGGCTACGAGGTGTAAATCAGTTAACAGCTACAAAATGTTTAGAATGGTGCTCAGTACTTAGGAAGCAGTCAATACATGTTAGCTCTCATCACTAGCAATGCTGATTAGATGTGAAACAATAGGAAGATAGAGCTGGACGATCCAGGTCATTCCAGGGGATTAAGATTACAAATCTACAGGGCCACCAGGCTTACCTACTATGCTCATACAACTTTACTAAAGGCAAGGAAACAAACAAACAAACAAACATGTACAGAGTAATACAAATAAAAAACTATGGCTTATAAGGTATGGCTTACTCTCAGGCAGCTCATTAGAAGACCTATCTTCTGTTTACTAAATTGCATTGTATTTAAGTTATACCCCATTCAAGAACAAGACAATAATCACAGCAATGCAAATTTGCACCCATTTACAGAGTCCTTACTATTTGCCTAGCATCATGCTAAATAATTAAGACATATTATCTCAATTTATCCTCTTGTCATTACTGTCCACATTTTGTCTTTGAGAAAATAGGCTTAGAAAAGTAGGTAACTAGCTCGGGTCACATAGATAGTAAAGAGAAAAGTCAGGATTTAAACACAGGTATGTCTGACCTGTCCTACTCATGATGATGTAAGATTATCATCTGATATATATATATATATATATATACATACACACACATACATATCAGATGATAACAGATATATATATATATATATACATACAATAGGTATATATACATACATATATATGTATGTATGTGTGTGTGTGTATATATATGTATGTATTCCCTCCACCCAGCCCAGAGGATGTAATAAGATGAATTACCACCAGATTCTTAAATAAGAGATTTTCCATTTATTTAAGCCCAATAGAACATTTTGTAATATAACTAGATACAAAGTGGAATGGTTTTCTTGGACTAAATATGAAGCATGTGGGTACTTACAAGAAGTACAGTCATAATAATATACTTTAATACTCTTTAATACTTTAATACTCTTTAATTGTTTATGAGTGTTCCTTGTTATATTAGCATTGCTATTTGAATATATAATGTACAACACACTTAAATTTTAGGGGGCAGAAATTAATTCGACCTACATCCATGCTTTCTCACAGTCCATTTTCTCTAGAATCCAACGTAGTTGGTGTCCACACTCCTCTGATGAAACCACCCTCGTCACAGTCATCAATAGTCTCCATGTTTTCAAATCTAATGGTGAATTCTCAATCCTCAACTTTCTCAAATTCTCAGCAACAGCTGACATAACTTATCACTCCGTCATTGAACAGCTTCTTTACTCAGCAGCCAAGACATTCTTCTGGTTTTCCTCTCTTCTCTTTTGCTTGACTCTCCTCCTCTCATTCTTACACATCCTAAATGTTGGCATGGGCTAGCTATCGCTTTCCTAGGACCTTCTGCTCCACTATTTAAACATGCTCTGTAGCCGAAAGTGGCTCCAGTATAGCTACCCTCACGACCTTCCCAAAGGTCTACCTCCAGGCTTAGATCTCTGAATACTAGAGTTAGGTTTCTTCATATCAACTTTTCTCTGAAAAAAACAAAAACAAAAAAGGTGTTCCTTCTCGTATCTTCTCAATCTCAAAAATGGCAGAATTATTCACTCAGTTGCTTAGGCCGAACACAACAGAATAAAACGTGAGTCCACTTGTGCTCACTTGTGCTCTCTGTAACAGAGGCTGTTTCACACTGAGAAGAAAGAGAACAAATGACTATTTCACAGACCAATGAAATCTTTCTTGTAGGACATTACTCATCTAGCAAGATTAGATATTTTATGTCAATATTTTAAGAAATTATT